CGACACGCTGATATCGCGGCCATCAAATACATGCAAAAAACTTACGCTCAAAAGGCCGGTCAAAGAAGAAGTCGAAATACGAATTGTCAATGTTTAGCAAAAATTCGTCTTGAAAAAAGTCGGCTTAATCTCTCTCATCCGTGTGAAGTTCATCTCTTATATAATCATAATCATCCATTAGAAACTTTAAATATTACACCACAAACGCCTTCGATTGCTTCTGTCGGTTCGACAAGCGATGAAAGCGGGAAAAGTACACCTCAACATAATCTGGAATTTGAATCAAGTATGAATAATGATAATGATCTTTATAGCTCTTATGATAACATTTCTCATGCTCAAGATGATTTACAACCTCCTCATCAATCCTCCCCCCCTTCCACTACTTTCGTTTTAAATAAATTCCATCAATTCGTTAAAGAAATCGATTTAGATATATTAAAAGGTGACAATGAATACTGTCGTGGTATTATCAAGTTTATGGAATCTTATCGGCAAGCAAGAGCCATTGGTCTTTCTAACGCTACTCAATTCTTTAATCAATTGTCTTGGACTGATTCCTTAAATCAAGGCGCGCACATCGGTTCCATCGATACTTTCTCCGACGGAAATGAAGGCTCCTTTATAGAATATTCTCCTCATCATCAATTTCCTCATCATCAATTTACCACGATACCTGTTCAATTCTCTAATGTTCCAAACGATCAGTATTTACCTCATCATCATGGATCTCCATCACAATCCGCAATTATTAACGATGATTCAACAGCTATTGTTAATTTTCAACAACAACAACAGCTACAACAACAACAACTACAACAACAACAACTACAACAGCAACAATTACAACAACAACAACAGTTTGCGGATATTTCTTTTCCTCATCCTACACCAATAAGTCCTCCTCCTTTGAACAAGAGACCATCTTTAAAACGTGCGGCAACCGATCAACCTATTCAAGAAATCGATCCGCAAAATGTCAATTTACGTAAAAGGAGATCGACTAGTGCAAAAAGGCAAAATTTGAATATCATCGGGCAAAATTTAAATGAATAATAACTATTATCATAAAATTTTTTTTAACGTTGATCGTTAATGCTTTAATGCTTTAATGGTTTTATCGATCTATCGATCTTTTTTTTTTCTTTTTCTTTACACGAATTTTTTCACGAATTTTTACAAATTTTTACAAATTTTTTTCACGAATTTTTACACAAACATTCATTCAAAAATCAAATAGAAAGAACATTTTAAAAGAACATTTAAAAAAAAAACAAGTAATTTACAAAATTTTATAATAAGCTTTATTTTTTCCTTTTTCGAATTGTATGTAAAAAATATGTAATAAACTGGCCAGTAGAAAAAAAATCAACAAAAAAAAATCAACAAAAAAACAAAACAAAAAAAAAAAAAAACTATTTTGTACATAATAAAATTCTCTTTTTTAAGGTTTTTTTTGTTTATATAACGATAATGGGTATTTTTAAGTTATTTAAAGATTAGTAATGAACTTTTTTTTTTTAGTTATTTGCCACGTTAAAATAAAGTTAGTCGCTGTTTCACATTATTTATTATTATAATAATCACGAATTCGTTCTTAGAATTAGTAGGAATGTTTATGAACGGTTATGGCGTAATGTTTATACGTCCAATGTCTTTTTCTATTTAAAGTTACAAATAAATGCGTAAATGCGTAATTAAATGCATAGCATCATATAGTACTTTATATAACAAATTATACAGTGGTTGGCCAGTATATACTTTTTTATACGTAGTTATATATAAGCAATATTTATAAAGCGATAGTTATTTCTAAACTTTTAAAACTTTTGAATTTTTTCTTAATTTTCTTGGTAAATCTGATTTGGTTTTATTTTTTTTTTTATTGTCAATTTTTGTAGGCTGAATTACTCTCCTTAATACAAATTCATCTTTATAATTGCAAAAAATAATAAAGATATATTATTTAATTTTTAAGGTCTAATAGATAATTATGTGTATTTACGTACGTAAACTATTGAATAACGATAAAATGAGGTAACAATAATTTATTGAATAATAAAAGCTGGCTGCACTCACATACTGTAAAAAAAATAAAAACAATTGCAAGAGTTTTTTTTAAGCTGAAAAAGTCTTCGTTTGTTATTAGTACATATCTGATATCTGATATTAAAGATGCGTATGTACATCAATTCAACTGATTTTAAGAATTTGACCTTTATTCAAATCTCTCATCTAATTTTTATCTACACTTTTAATAGATTTGGGGTTTTAAATACAAGTTCCGATTTATTATGTACCGATTTATTAAGTACCGATTTATTATGTATTGGACTTTATACGTATAACTATGAACCGGAATTTTTCAACTAAGGCCCCAATTTTTAAAAATAATTGACCAAAAATCCGTCGAATTATTCAGAAATGGTTGAATAGACTCAAATTCAGCGAATTAAGCGCACTAATCAACCAACATTTTCTTTGTGAAGTTTTATAATATAACGTCAATAATGTCAAAAAAACTAACCCTAATATATCATTTCTAACAATTTGTTTTAGCAAAAATTTGATTGGATGTACAAAATATTTTACCGAATTTTTGAATTGAATTTGAAGCTGGTGACGATCTTCATGAGGTCTTCGGTCCGAAAAAGAACCGTCGATTATATGGTATGTCGTTAAAATCATTATCCATTATCCGAGGCGGGATGATATGTGAGGATATAATAGATATAATAACAACTGTTGTTAATCGTACCAAAAATTATAAAAAATTAAAGCTCCTATGGGAAAAACCTTGTTACAAAAAATTTAAACAAAGATTTGAATACGTTAAAAAACAGTAAAGTCAAAAACGTGAAATGGGAATTGGTTGGAAATATATAATTACTCTGCTAACCCAGGTAAGTTAATAATGCCAAGACCGTTTAAATCTCCAACATAAAGAAAAACTCTGTTGTTATACAGCATTTGTCGAGTGCAGGTGAAAATGATAAAATTTGGAAATAATGATTCTATCTCATACAATTAATTTTGAGTACGACAATTATGAATTGAATAATATTTTTATTATGTACCAATTAATTGTGTACGATAATCCTAACTACTTTTTTTTACTAATAGTTACTTAAAAAGCTATCATTAATCATGTTTGGTAATAGATCTGTTCTGAACAAACCGAATAAGGATCAGTCTTCTTAGCCGGTCTCAAGGTTACGCCGATTTTTCCGACTCAGTCTTGAGACCGCTTTATAAATGGCTATACTTAGTTAATTTAACCTATTTTTATTAAAGTATGAAATCTCTTTTAGATTCCCATACTATTTAATCAATTGATTATATAATAAATACATTTATGGGGTCACTTATAGTAAATGGATTCCGTAATCGCTTATTGAGTCACATGATTCAATTCTTTCTACTAGCCAATAGTATGATTAGAGGTCGGGGGACGTCTAAAGCCATGTCCAGTCACGTGTTTTTTTGTTTTTAATTAAAATTAGGTTAAGGGTTAGTTTGGGGTTAAGGTCAGGGCATGCCTTATAGTAAAATTGTCTTCCCGACATTTTTTATTAATGCACCAAGATGGGTTTAGACTATCGTTTCTTGTATTTTT